ATTCGCTTCGAATTTCGCTTTATGGGCGACCCCAAATCATCGGTCACAACAAATAAATAACACGTCTAAATTATAATTCATTAAGCGAGGCATAAACTATTTTACAAAATTGAAGTTGTTTGCAATTATTATACATTCCATATTATTCAAATTAACTCAGGCAAATACAAAACTGGGCATATTGTATATTACCTATACGTCGTCTAAACTCGATGTAATTATAATTATTTTACGATAGTGTCATTAATAAGTAATATAATTAAACAGATCACTTAACCCATTGTGTATGATCAGTAATATACATGCATCGTCCCACGAGTCCGGGCCAATGAAGGACCAAATCCGTGACTGAATTCTTGAGTTGGTTCCAAGCAATGAATAGTTGTACCGTGCTTCACTCTCTGCACTCGTCGCCGCCGCGGCGCCACGATCACTACACTACTACACGAGAATAATGAAATAGCACTGAAGTCTGAATAGTTCGTTGTTGAGACGTGAGTGCAGCTGCAGCACCCGTCACGTCGGAGTGCATCATGTACTCGTGCACGTCATCTCTAATACACTCGCAACTAACTATAATGTAGGAGCCGTGGAGTTCGTACATATGTCTACCGAACTATGTCGAACAATTATTATATTAACAGTTGATTTGATAAAATAACATGTTTAACTTAATCTCGTAACATGCATGATTCGTGCAGTTTGAACGAAGCACACAGACTAGTTTACCCCACAGTGGTATTTATCTTATTAATATTATTGAACAATTAAAAAGCGGGATCTCGGCACGAGTGTAGAGTTCCGAAGCGCTCCCATCTTAGTTATAGGTTTAGTGTGTTCTCGCCGTTATGAATGGTGAGACGGTCTTAGAGACATCCGCGTCGAAGAATTTAGTCACGCTAATGGACTTGCTCTGCAGGAGGCTTACGTCTTTCGATTTTACTAAGCGGTACCTGTAGATATTTAGTACACAACTTCGTATAACGCTCTGTCTTTTTGTAATAAATTGTGTTGTAGTGTTACATACTGTTTTATTATAGGCCCTTCACCCCAAATATTTCCTCATAAGCATTCGACAAAGATTGGCACAACGGTTTGATTTTAAAAATTTTTAACATGGGCGTGGCGGACGGTCTCGTGGTCATCATACGTGATTTCTTGTCGAACCGATCTTTTCGATATCGAGTCGAGGGAACCCGCTACTCACCGCGACCGCACACGGCTGGAGTACCGCAGGGCCCCGGCCTCTCGCCGCTTCTATTAAAATTTAGTTTATTCATCAACGACATTCCCCGGTCGTCGCCGACCCAGTTAGCCTTATTCGCCGACGACACAACCGTTTATTACTCAAGTTGGAACAAGTTCGTCGTGGCCTAACGGATAAGACGTCCGGTGCATTCGTGTTGAGCGATGCGCCGGTGTTCGAATCTCAGGTGGGTACCAATTTTTCTAATGAAATACGTACTTAACAAATGTTCACGATTGACTTCCACGGTGAGGGAATAACATCGTGTAATAAAAAATGAAACCCGCAAAATTATAATTTGCGTAATTACTGGTGGTAGGACCTCTTGTGAGTCCGCGCGGATGGGTACCATCACCCTGCCTATTTCTGCCGTGAAGCAGTAATGCGTTTCGGTTTGAAGGGTGGGGCAGCCGTTGTAACTATACTTGAGACCTTAGAACTTATATCTCAAGGTGGGTGGCGCATTTACGTCGTAAATGTCTATGGGCTCCAGTAACCACTTAACACCAGGTGGGCTGTGAGCTCGTCCACACATCTAGCAATAAAAAATAAAAATAAAAGTTCCTTATAGCGAGTACCTAAACTCCAGAACGCAGCCGTGACCCTCAGACAGAGGTTCCGAAAATGGTGTATAGACATCAACCCAGTAAAAAGCATATCGGTACTATATCAAAGGGGAAACTCTACACGAATTTCCTCCCGCGTTAGGAGGAGAAATGTCACACTCCCGATCCCCCTCTTTGGCCAACCTTGAGTCAGGAAGGTCAAGTACCTGAGAGTCACCCTGGATGCGTCCATGACATTCCGCCCGCATATTAAAACAGTTCGCGACCGTGCTGCGCTTATTCTCAGCAGGCAGACTACCCCATGATATGTAAGCAGAATAAAATGTCACAAAACTTGCATAAGGCCCGTCATGATTTACGCGAGTGTGGTGTTCGCTCACACGGCCCGCACACACCTAGACACTCTCCATTCCCGCTTTTGCAGATTAGCTGTCGGGGCTCCGTGATTAGTGAGGAACCTCGAACTACACGACGACCTGGACCTCGAATTGGACCACAAACACATGAAGTCAGCGTCGGAACGTTACTTCGATAAGCCTATGACTAAGACGACTGGGCTTTGAGGCGTAAAAGCGGCTTGTTCAAAGTTGTATCGAACGCCAGGTCGAACGAGTTTGTATTCGTCGTGGCCTAAAGGATAAGACCTCCGGTGCATTCGCGTTGAGCGATGCACCGGTGTTCGAATCTCAGGCGGGTACCAATTTTTCTAATGAAATACGTACTCAACAAATGTTCACGATTGACTTCCACGGTGAAGGCATAACATCGTGTATAAAAATCAAACCCGCAAAACCACCACTCTGCCTATTTCTGTAGTGAAGCAGTAATGCGGTTCGGTTTAAAGGGTGGGGCAGCCGTTGTAACTATACTTGAGACCTTAGAACTTATATCTCAGGGTGGGTGGTGCATTTACGTTATAGATGTCTATGGGCTCCAGTAACCACTTAACACCAGGAGGGCTGTGAGCTCATCCACCTATCTAAGCAATATAAAAAAAACCCGTCAAAAACGGATAAAAGTAATAGCTCGTCTAAAATAAAAAAGCTGAGTGAAGAAGGTATTACGACAGACCATGGACAAATCGATAGAACTGATGACATTGAAGAAGGAGAATCTAGCAGAAGCTCTTCTGGAAAAATCTTAAGTTACCTACATATTTTTTTAAAGTAATATGTATTTTTTTATGAAAGAAGGACTCCTGGTGTCCCGGACGCCTTTTTAGTTTCACCAGGACAGATGGGCGAGCACGGGCTCAGCCAGCAGCATTGGTATTTGCTAATAGCTGCCCGAGCGCCTCCAAAAGAACCTAACAACTCAAGAGCAGCACTTCGAAATCTATGCTGAGTTCGACGAGTACGGTTACCGGGGTCCCTAAGCTTGCTCGTAATGTTAGGGCTGAAAATGCAAGAGTCAATGCAAGAGTTATTGGATCTGATGGATCGGTAAATGCGGGCCGAATGTCATGGATGCATCCAAGGTGACTCCCAGGTACTTGACTTTCCTGGCCCAGAATATGGGTTGACCGAAGAGGGCGATCGGGGTACTTACAGGCTAAAATGACAGAAAATATATAATTTTGTAACGGTTATGAAAACTTGTATTTGATATTTAAGTAATAAAAGAATAACAAAAAACTTGCAACTTAGTGCACGTGAAAGAAGTGAAACTTCAACGTACCTCGAGAAATCATAACATTAGCTTAGAAAGAAGTTGTTGCCGGTATTCGATAATTACGAAACGAGTCCTTAGGTTTTACTTAATAATATTTTTACTGATAATTGAAAACAGTTATTTTATTTAAAATACCGCATTTTTTTAATATTTTAGAAATTAAACTGCTCACACCGTTGGCCTTCCAATGTCGTAGTTTATGTGAAATCCAATAGATGTCACTAAACTAAATAAAGACCTAACTCGCTTTCTCTTTTCGCTCTCTTCACTGTCAAGTGGCTCGCGAGACGGTCTATCTAATTTCTCACTCTTGCTCTTCCTAAATTGTATCTTTTCTCTCTAGCCGTAACGAATCTGTTGCTAGTTAAATTTTACTCTCAACGTGCCTAAAGAAGCTTTACTTCAAAAACTGAAAATTTCCAACCTGACTAAATTTTTAAGATTTTGTAAAATTTTAATTTATTTGCCACTTCAACGCGACTGCAGCATCATCTACCAAGTACAGTTGTTTTCTTGTTAATAATTTAGGGTTTTTTTATCATCATTTATTAGCTTTCATTGAAGCTACCTGAGAGTATACTGAAGAGTTGTTGTAGTCCTACGGTACCTCGCTCTTATGTACATAGGGCCCTCACAAGTTGTCTCCACTTGACCCTGTTGAAGAGTACAAACGTAAATTTTTTATAACTTGCCGTATTTACAATTATTATCTGCAAATTTACGGCAATTTTACATCAAGACTTGCGGTACATCTTATACTGTAAATTTAATGACCAGTTTTGGCATCAGTTTGTCGACAAGTTGAAACGCAAGTTGAAAAGCAGAGTTTGAAGTAAACTTACGGTAAACATGACTATCAGGGCTATTTCGAAATCATGTTTCGCGCACTACGATGCTTTAAGCCTCATAATTTTTGCGAGATAGTATTGCTTAAATAGGTATAGAGCATTTTATGCCTACATATGGTGGACCGACCAAATTAAAACTGCAGTGGGAGGTCCCCTAAATGAGTGCAGTAGAATGGCCTCGAGCAGGGAGAGATGGCGCGACATCGTGAGACGCATCAAGTCTGCCCCTTCCAACACTACATGACGATCACGACCACTCTGTCAAGAGTGACACGACTGAGAAGAAGAAGATTTGGTAGTAGGGTTTCGGCGAAATAAAATAAATTAATCACAGATTTTGTTGATTTAATAATTCACTGCATAAAACGAAAACCCCTATACCTAATTTATAATTGAAATGATTTTATAGCATATTAAGACTTTTTATTGGGAACTCAAAGTGTAAAATTATAGCAATTATTGAATGTTGTCCATTTATAATTGTTTAAGTTTATGCGACCTATTTAAAAAAAATATACTTGGCCGTATGAACAGTGTTTTCTTTGCTTGTCCAAATACTTATTACATTAAAGCTGTCCTATTCAGTACGGTACATATTTGTTAGGTAGGTACTATACCTACCTATTGATCGCTACAAAGTACCAACACTACCAACTTCGTCAAATTAGTCAGACTCGTTCGTAATCGTGACAGTTCGTGATTGTCCGTAGAAATGGCAAGGCGGTATACGCCTGCCAAAGAAAAACTTTATAAATTTGTAGAAATTTGCAGTATGTTTAATGCATTTTTTAAATTAATATGAACTTTATTTCTGAATTTTAATTTATTTATCTGTAACTATTAGTTTGGTAATAAAATTTTAGCTATGGAGTGGATGGTGCCCGTGAATGAGATGTTAAGGGATGAAATCACTCGCATTGACTACAACTTAATGACGGACACTTTTGAAGGAAACATCAGGACCGTGAGGTATAATAACATCAGGAACATATTAAGCTTTAACTTAAGTGCTTGTTTTTGAGAAATCAGCAAATTAAACACTCTTTGTCAATAACAATATTGTTGAAAATGTACTATCCAGCTGCCTACTCCAAATTCTCATTCCAATTATGGGCGAATAGTGTTGCATATGTGCGACGAGGCAGCTGGTTAAACGAATTCACTGGAAACTCGATATTGACAATGATTTGATAGTAGGTAATTAATTACTTGCTTTGTAAAGAGAATTTGTCATAGCTTTTCAAAAATGTTGTGCCTCGAAAATCGATATTTCGAAGGAAATGACTAATTTCCATAAAATGGTACTCAATGCACATAATTATAGTACAGCTCATATTGTTAATGAATTACCAAAAATTTTCAAGATCTTTATTAATGCCAACATGAACTAAAGAAGCTCTAATTTATATATGAACTGTTTGCTCACCATACTACCATACCTCAATGTAAATGTACATTTTTTAATCTGAAAACAAACATTTAATCAAGTAAGTGTTAAGAGATCATACATTCAAATTATAAAACAACAAGATTTTGCAATCTGTGAAGTAGCTTTTAGTTGGTAAAACATGATTTATATTTAAGACAATGTCATAAAACACACTTGATTTTTAGTTTATTCATTTATCTACAAATTTTAGGAAGAAGATTTAACCTTGTTTTAGATTACTTAAGAAAATGTAGTAAACAAGAACCATTTTCTAGTTTGCAGAAATAATATCACTTATTGTTAAAGTACTCAAATTAGCTTGCTAATTTGTAGGATGCTACAAGATAGTCTGTCAAAGCTGATAGATGTCCTGGGAGAATATTCATCAGCTGCACAAGGCCTCAACCGTGTGATCACTACTGGGGAAAAACTTCGCCTCTGCCCATCGCATGTTGTGTATATCCTTAAAGACAAGGATGCAAAAAAGTAAGTTTTAGTTCCCAGCTGACTTCCCAGTGACTAGATTATGCTACTGGCCCTATTTTGTTCATAACAGATTGCCACACTATTATTGCATATTGCCACTGACTATTCAATGCATTGTCATACTTTTGTGAAATTCTTAAAATATACTAACAAGATACCTATAGTAAATAATTTGACATTGTTGATAGTATATGATTAGAAAAAACCAAAGAAAAAACTAATGACTATTTTTTGTTTTGCACATAGCCATAAAGTGACAGATGATTGAATCCATATAAATAACTAATAAACATAAAATAGCTTTTCTTTCTTAATTGATAGTTCTAGATTACATAAAGTACAGTTTTCTTAAGTGGTCATTGTTGCTGTCATAGGACCCAAACTTCCTCCTATGCCTTCTGTGGCAGTAGTTCTCGTCTAGAAAGTTTGCAATGGCGATCTAATCATGTTTCCATCTTTTCGCATTACAATCTGAACTTGTGGTGCCATCTCTCAAAATCGATTCTAGCTATATGATATGATACCTCAAATACACATATTCATATATCCACTCCAGTCCCACACTGTCAACAATTTTGTCTACTCCCACTGAGCCAGTCATCTGTTAATATTTCGCAAGTACATTTCTAGTCCAACTACATGATTTTATCAGTCAACCTAGGATGCGCAACTCCGAACAAGTTACAATTCACCACTCGAAGACAAGCTTGTCCCGCAGTTGCTTTAAACAACTGAGAGATCCTGCAATCTGAAAATGCTAAATACTTGCGGATGTACCTGGACAGGAAACTGACTTAAGATGTAGGATGAAGCTGATGGTATACAAAATTAATATTAAACCTACTGGGCTTATGGAAATCCAATATTGAAAATCTTCAAAGATTTCAAAAAAGAATGTTTGAGACAATAGTAAAACACCATGGTATGTTACTAATAAAAGAATCCATCACAACCTCACCATAAGAAAAGTTAAAGATGACAATGTATAGAGCTAAAACATACTGTGAAAAATTAGAATCTTGCCCAAATGTGAATATTTAATGAACAACAACTAAATGACTACAAGAAGACTTAGTTGATCGACATGTCACTTTTGAATCTGTTTTTCTCCAAACTACAGCTAAATTTGAAAAGACAGATTACATTATACAAAAAAATTAGTGGTAGCTTGGTCAATACTCACTAATCTATTCCAGACATATGATTAATGCTACTGACTACTTTAGAAAAATCAATGAATACTAAGAGATAGGTTTTATTATTTATTGCATAAACGGGTCGATGAGCTCACGGGCTACCTGATCTTAGGTGGTTACCGGAGCCCATTGAGATCAATAACGTAAATGCCGCCAGCCATCTTGAGACATGGTAAGGTAAACGGAGACCTTTCAACACACGGGCGCCCACCCTTCAAACCGAAAGGCATTACTGATTCAGTAAGATATAGGTAAGAAGTGGACTCAGAAGATTTCCTACCACCAGTAATTACGCAAATTATAATTTTGCGTTCTTATTCCTTCACCGTGGAGGTAATTCGTCGACATTAAATTTGTTAAGTACGTATTTCATTAGAAAAATTAGTGCCTGCCTGTGGGATTCGAAAACCATTGCATAGCTTGATACGAATGCACCGGGCGTCTTATCTTTTATGCCACGACGGCTTCATTTATTATATTAAAAATATTTTTGCATTATCTATGTAATTGCATGACGATGTAGTTTGTCGTGGACCTTGCTTATTCTCTATAGATACATTTATTATTAGTAAATAAATCAACTAGCGACCCGCCTCAGCTTCGCAGGGGTGCAATGTTATCTACATTGTACTCCTGTTAAGCGGAGGCGGGTAGATACTAATTATGGAGAAATGTGGAGTGATTAATAATGATGCTTGTTTTTCTGGATCTGAAATAAAATAGATTTGTAGAAATTTGTGATTATTGGTCGAAGCGGTACCAAACTCCCAGCTAAGTGATGCATTTCGGTCGGTTGATGCATTTTCGTGCGACGTAAGTGCTCCCACGAATTTGTTCCTACGATATCAAGGTTTTGGAGTAGTCATCAAATATTATAATTGCAGATAGTCCATAGTGTTCTTGTACATACCCTACATACTTCTCAAGAATATTGTTCAAAGACCTCAAACCAATTCTCGTAAATTTGAAATGATTGTAGAATTCAATGATATTCTGAGTTTTATGGTAGGAAAAAGGATCAATAAGAAATGAATAATAACATAGGAAAGTAAAAAAATATATAAATTGTATGGATAACAAAAATATCAATGGAATTCAAGAACCCGGTCAACTTCAGAGCCCTGTAAAGCTGTACCTGTAAATAAATTAATGAAATGTAAAAAAAAATTGTAGTCGACTTTTTGTTTATATTCTGTTTATTTTTTGTTTATTCGTTAATAAACTCTACACGTTTACTCTGATGTCATTTTATTGTAAATTTTTCAGAAAAAATGTTATAAAGCCGAAATGAAAAAGAAAAAAAATTACAGCTCTTTTTATTTAAGTAAAGTTTTTTTATTTTCCATTTTAGGATAAAAGTAGTAGGAATACATTTATAGAGAAATTAATTTGCTACAAATTATGTCTTCGAAAAACACTTAGAATCGCTTCTTCGACTTCGACTTCGGAGGACTAAAGACCCTACAAACTTGAACTTAAGCTTATAATAAATCCCATACACGTCAAAAAAAAATGCATCCTCTAAAAAACATAACCTTAAATATAACTTTTCAATGGAATATATATTAATTTAATATAGTACTAGTCCGTACATCGCCAATATCGTACATCATTATCACATTGCACACGCGAGCACTTTCCTCGGCTGAACACGATGCTGCTACGACTCTAAAATAAATTTAAAATGTTTCGCGTAATTCGAAATTAAACATGTCAAATGATCGAGGTTTCATTTTGTAGTAGTTTCGGAAATACTCGCGTGGTACCGTTGAACCTGGCGAAAATAAATCCGCTTCTTGTGAAACATTGTACAAGTCTACAGAGAGCGACACGGTCCGCCGCGCCCGCGACGCGACGCGACGGTTCACCGATGCGCTCCAGTTTCATTACCTGTCGAGAAACCATCGCTAACAACAGAGCCGCGCTGCCTCGCCAGCCCAGCCCCCTCGCTGTCCGGCTACTCGTATAAGCGCAGATATTAATACATACAGATCCGAATTTTATCTAGTCTAAGACTACAAATTCTAAATCGTTTGTAACATTAACATTTCCCACACATGAAATGTTATATAGAGAAAGATACATGGCTTTATTCGGGTTACCTACAATTGTAAAAAAACTATCAAAATAACATAATGACCGTCGGTGCATAACGTTGTACACATTTAAGTTAAGAGCTTATAATAGCAGTAGAAATGAACATGCGACTCCGTCACCTCGACCGATTGTACTTGCTATACTATGTAATATTTTATACTTGGTCCGTGCCCGACGACTTAATAAATGTGGTTGGTGACGGTTCACTGAAGTATGATTTGCTAAATAAACAATAAGAAGTGTGCAATGATCTCTGCACGAAGCCAATGAGGAGTGAGGTCGTTCGGGGCAGAGTGTCCCTCGCGTCGCGTCGCGTCGCCCTGTAAATTGAATTCGTCCGCTGCAAAGCATCGCTGTCACATCCGCACTATTCCGCACTTCATTATAACAATGTACACTTGTGTTCACGTACCTACTTTTGTTTTTACGTTACAAGATGAGAGTATTGCGAGCTTGCAGAAATGATATTTTTGAAGTGAACATTTCTTGAGCACTGTTGTCAATTGAAATTCTATAAAATGGAAATGGCATTCAAACAAAAACGAATATTAAAAAGAGACAAATGTGAGAATATGATACATTATACTCATACTTGTAAAAAAAGCCTTGTTATATATTTTTCATGATAGTTCTTTAAAATTTATTTGAAATAAGCCTGTCCACTACTGCAGGAGTTTATACTAGACAAAGGTATGCTAACGGTCGGCAGTGACCCGTATTCCTCAGGAGGACTACACGCTCCTCTGTTTACCATGGCAGCTCACTGTCCGGCACTATTGGTCTCGTTGCACGCACTGTTCGGCTCTAATACTTATTAATATGCGTGTGGCCTTAAAATACATGTTATATCGCGTATATTATTTTTATTTTATCATAATCGTGAAGTCGTCGTGGCTTAACGGATAAGACGTCCGGTGCATTCGTGTTGAGCGATGCACCGGTGTTCGAATCTCAGGTGGGTACCAATTTTTCTAATGAAATACGTACTTAACAAATGTTCACGATTGACTTCCACGGTGAAGGAACAACATCGTGTAATAAAAATGAAACCCGCAAAATTATAATTTGCGTAATTACTGGTGGTAGGACCTCTTGTGAGTCCACGCGGGTGGGTACCAACCACCACCCTGCCTATTTCTGCCGTGAAGCAGTAATGCGTTTCGGTTTGAAGGGTGGGGCAGCCGTTGTAACTATACTGAGACCTTAGAACTTATATCTCAAGGTGGGTGGCGCATTTACGTTGTGGATGTTTATGGGCTCCAGTAACCACTTAACACCAGGTGGGCTGTGAGCTCATCCACCAATCTAAGCAATAAAAATAAAATAAAAACCGAAGTTTCGAAAACTACAGTTTTCGTTATAGCTTACCTTTACCACACAGATGAGCCACACCACTATACGTGCCTCGGTACTAGTGTAAGTGTGCGGTCAGACGGGATCCCTGGCTCCGCGAATTCCACAAGCCGACGCCAGATTGCGTCCCTGCAGTGGCACTACACGCGTGCGCCGGTCGACGCCTAGTTGACGTCTATACCAACACGTTTCTGTAGGGTTTCCTAGATCACAAGCAGAATTCCGTTTCCGTGGAAATTGTCCTCCTTATCCCCAAGGTGACCAGTGGGACCCTATGAATGACAGATCGATCGTGATAACTTCCTTGTTGTGTTCTCGAGATGGCGTCTGGCGGATTGCCTCGGATGTATTTCAACTCATCTTTTTGAAGATACAAGTGTCCACTCCAAGTACTCACTCCGAATGAGGGCTCTGGTCATGGCCACAGTTCTAACTTTCGAGGGTATTGCGATTCCTCTGGATGTTTCGAGTGAAGTTATTTACTCAAATCGAGTTTTTTTTTTAAATATTAAATTTGAACACCAGTACAATCGTGGCGCGATATGGGTACAACAGGCGTCCCGATCTTGATACTACCGAACGGTATGTTCACGGTTTCTAAATTATAACGAAAATTACAACCAGATTACATCGCACCATCTCTTCTTAATTTACGATTGCGTTATGCGTATTCATTGTACGGCTTACAGTGTGCGTACCGTTATTTGAGATGGTAGTTTTGTTTATACAAGTCTTCGATCAATAATTACAAGTCGAATTAATTATTTATGTCGAACTCTTATTGATCACAACAATGTCATCAATGTTTAGTTGACACTCAGATGCGTAAAAAAGGAAGAATTATTGATATATATTTAATAAATTGTACCACAAAACGAAAAATTCAGATGATTGTGAACATGGATGGTTGATGCAAGGTCGTGTGACGGGCGCGTGCTGAGCTCTAGTCGTGGTCTGATCGCTCATGTGAGTCGCTGATCACTTTTCCAGCGGTGAGGGCGAGGCAGTCGGCATGCTGAAGATTGGTCGCAAGCACCTGTTTTTGTTCGACGACAAGGAACAAGTGCGCGAGCTGGAGCCGCTCTGCGTCCTCGACTTCTACGTGGTCTGCAACCGCCAGCGCACCGGATGCGGGAAGAAACTTTTCGATTTCATGCTCAAGGTCAGTGCTGGACTGGCGCTGCGTGCTGAGCCCACAGCGCGCCCACATTATTGACGAGTTCACTTTAAAACTGGCGCTCCTCTATTCGTATATGAAATAAAAACATAATAATTCCGTCGTTAGTGTCTGTTCATCTTATGTTAATACTTAAGTCAGGGCCCAATAAAGAGTAATTATTATACATTTGGAACCCAGGACACGGAGAGCGACGTCCACGCACTAGCCATCGACGGGCCCTCGCACAAGATGGAGCAGTTCCTGAAGCGCAACTACGGCGTGGAGCGTCTCGTCCGCCAAAACAACAATTTCGCTGTTTCGCCCAAGTTCTTCACGTTCACCACGGCCGAGCTCAAGTAAGAATCGAACTGCTCTGTGATGCTCTACTTCATTTACCTGGAGAGTACACACCAAACCTTATCCGTGCAATCCGAAACAAACAATTAATAAATAACTAGGATTTTGTGTGTATATGGAAATGTGATTCTGCAAATGATTATAACATAGGATTACAAAACAGATTAAAGGCAGTGAATGATCGCCGAGACACGTGCGGGTCGGAGCAGAGCCGCGCCCAGAGCGGGGACAGGTCTGTACTGTGGCGGCACCGCCTCCCCGCAACAATATATTTGTATACACCTTTAGGCCACTAGGCCACCATGCGCTCGCGACTAAATCAGCTTCTTAAATCACACTAGCTTTCACGAGTACTAACTAATAGGCTTTGTGGATACGTGCGATATCTTCATCATGAGATCTCGTCCTGCCTTCCCGCGCTCCTCATATTTGGCTAATATTCATCGGTGGTGGATGCGAGCAGCTGTTTAAACAATAATAAACACATTATACATTTTTAGACAATAAATCGGAAGCTAAAACACATCGCTTTACTTAATAACCACGTTTGCTACTACGAAATGTAGATGTATCATACAAAGGCGAGGTAAGTGATGTTGTAATAAGTTGATTCGATCTTATACTAACACAAGACGAGAGATGTCGTCTGGAATCAGTTCACCTGTAACACCGTTCTTGCCGGAAGGCAGACTGGGCAATACCAATAAACTTACAATTCCGTTTAGTGCCTGCACTGATTTCAAATTAATTATCAATACAAAAGTTAACTTGGAGGTTTTAAACACATCAGTGCATTGTAGCACAACTGTCGGTTAATTATTGTCCATACCGGCGACATCTTGCGATAGGCCGATGTACAGATGCCAATGCAATAAATACACTTTGAAATTGCGTATGTCGATCTTAGACTCTAAACCATATTTAATTACATTTTTTTCACCGAGTTCAATAAAGAGTCATGATTGTGTTATTCGGTATGGAATATTTAACCAAAACCTAACTATAACGGGTACTATAACCACGGAATAGATAAATAAGGTTGGAAAGGCCTTTGCTCTAATTTTGTATTAGAACCAGTGTCGCCGCTTCATCCCCACTATTTTAATTTCTACACATACACACACTGTGATTACAAGTATTTCGCACACAACAAAAACACCCACACATAAATCTCAGGACAGATATTCGTTCGCAAACTAGCACAAAACACCCGTAGGCATACACACTCACACACGCAAAAAGGCAATAAAAATGTTCATACACGCTAGTGCTTGATAAAATCGATATTCTTTATCGATAAATTATCTGATGAATGAATGGAGAAAATGAAACATGAAATAAATATTGAAAAAAAAAACTATTTTACTTTTATTAATTACAAATAGTCACTGTCGCTGGAATAAAACGTATTTGTTAAGCAGTTGGCGCTTGCTATTAATTGCGAATGAATTTTTCAAAACTAAGTGTATTCTGATTTTTTTTATGATAAAATCATTTTCAGTAAAATGTTTAGAGCAAATAGTACTCGTCTTTGTCTCCAGTTTCCTCTACCTGTCACGTCAATCCATTGTTCCCTGGCGTTAGGTTCTTTAGGAAACCTAAAATTTTTAATTTACTGCATAAGTCAAATAGCATTTTACTTAGATTTTAATACGTCTTAGACAATATAGTAAATACCCGTAAATTAGAGGTCTACATGTCCCTTTATATTATACCTTCACTTTAATTCAATGATAATAATTCAATAATAATAATACATATTTATTTTACTCAAAATACGTCTCACTAAGAATATACTAGGTATCATTAATTAAATATAAAATAATGCAAAAATTATCCATGTCAAATGTAAATATAGTCGAGAATTCTGTCGATGATTTTACCACATGGTCACCTCACTATCGACAAACTGCACGGCCAATCAGGGCAAAGGCCGAAATTTCAAAGATTGAAGTGTAGAGAACGCAATGCATGTAGTACATTGGAAGCTGACTTGGTCATTGCGTTCATTGGGCGAGTACACATCGCGCAATGTATGCTATTTATAACTTGCTGCAATAATATTGTTAATGTTTGGAATTTCATAATGCTCAGTATATTTTTATGTTTTAGACAAATAATATTGTAATTAAATGGTAATTTCGACTTACCGATCGAAAGATATACCTCCTCGCTCTATACTTGAGGTCTGATTTTTTGTTTTACAAGTTATAATTGCACAACACGGCACTATAAAGCGGAGATCTGTTCGCCAAGTAGTCCGAAGCGCACTAAACGCGGTGAATGAAAGAATCGGTCGAGTTATGTTTGTTCTATCATAACAGTGGCACGCTTGCCCCGCCTACATTACCATTCCAACCTTATTTATCTATTCCGTGACTATAACTGACCGAAGTTGGATTCTGGTATTGTTTTTCACAAAGATTTGTGAAATTTGTCTGCTTTTTAAATAAAAATGTGCTGTACAAAAGTATAAATTAGGCAAACCATTATTTTAATAATAATCAATTAGTTCGTTAAATCGATGCACACGAGCGCGTGATTACGAACCGCCGAAGAACGACCAATGTAACATTGTGAAGTAACAGCGTCTGATGTGGCCGCGACCGCGACTACGGCGCGCTCTACAACTCACTGACAACACAAGTCGTACAATCACTCCTCTGTCTGACCACTACCAGGTCTGTTATTGATCGAAGGGTGCGGGAACCAACACCTGATATATAATAACATGTTTCCATATGTTCCATTATTAAAAGGTCAAGTTTGTGTGCATAAAATTAATATACTGAAGAACATTTTAACGGTGGTTCCATAAACATGAAATAGTTCCTTGCAATTTGTTAAAACTCATCACATCTTGTAATTTAAATAAAAAAAACGTTTTATTTCACTCCTTTCACAAATTGTTTTGTGTTATTGGCTTGTTTAGTTGTGTTTAAATAATTGAACTTGATAAGGACATGCAATAAATGAAGGTAAGCAGTGTGTGCGTGTGTGCGTGTGTGCGTGCGTGCGTGCGTGCGTTCGCTCGTTCGTTCGTACGCCTGTATAATAAGCGAGCGTTGATTGTACAGCAAGGCAGGCCGTCCGGTCTCGTCGCTGCCGCCGGTCATCGGCCGGTTCGCGGCGCCGCGGCGTCCCTCCGCCATCGCCAACGTGATCCACGGCGGGAACGGCCTGGGCTACCGACAGGACTCCCCCAACGGGTAATGTATCTCGAACGGCTTCCGCCCCTGCAGCACTCTCCTCGTTCTCTCATTCATATTTACAACTGCCTTCGTTTCGTTACTTTCAGTTGCTCGCCGCTCGCCCGACCTATGAACCCGCAATGATCTACGACTTAGTGCATTCCCTGTTATTGTTTTAGCTTTTTAAGTTGACGCTGATTTGATCCGCATGTATCCGCATGTATAGGAGAATTGTTTTGTACTATTTATTGTCATCGCTTGTGCCTCTCAGAGTAGAAACCAGATGAACGATACTTGATGAAAGCAACGTGTGTGTTCACATCTCGAACGATACAGGGTGTACGTAACGGAACCCGAGAACGAGAACGAGCCACAGAGCGGGATCCCTAACAAGGGACCGTTGAAGTTGTCACGTTATTTTCTCTTTGCCAATGTAAATTCATTTTAAGCTGATAGTTGATTACCGTTCCGGCATCGGGAGCGGTCTGCCTACACCCTGTACACGTGTGCATGGTCAGCGGCGGGCGCACGGATACCGGGACCTCTCAGCGACCCGTCTGTCGGCTGCAGCAGGCTCTACCAACCGGCTTCATATCGAATTAAAACAGTTATTATTAATACATGTGTATATTTATAACTTTTTTTAATTATTATTATAATAATATGCTTTAGATGAGAATTCTATTTTGTACACATATGACGGACGTAGGGTACCTACACAATATCAAAGTTTAAAATGAAATGGTTCTTAGGTCAAAACACAAGTCTACTCATGGCGAGCCGTTGCCTACCTTGCATCTAACTATTTTACTAAGTTGGATTCAAGTGCCGATAGGGTATCCGTGCTGCCTTGCAGCTGACCGTACAAGAATATTATGCACGATGTGTGCGTCGCCGTTGCATCGCGCGTACTGTTAATTACATTATAATATGTTGGATCGCATCTTCCGCCACCAACATGGTTCCGCGGTGTGCGGCGACTGCACTCCCTGCTGCTTAGTGTTACTGTTTACAAGCACGCACTCAATATTGGCACTATTGTGAACGACAGGGCTGGCGACTGACACGCCCACTGACAGACCAAACATTGTGAACTCGTACAGAATGTACAAGGCTTATTTTTAAAGTATTTAATGTATGTAAATATTTAGTGAAGACAAAGACTGACTGACACATTGTTGGAGATGCGTGGTGCCCGTCGACTGCGGAGTGTCAGTACTGCTCTGTGTAACACCTAGCACCCATTAGCGCTAGCTCTCAAATGACTAAATATAATTTTACAAAGAAATATTTATCAATTTAAAGACAGGGGCACACTAATTGAAACTACTTTTATCTCGGGTGTTGCAATCTGTCGGAAATAATAAATGATACATATAAATGAAATAATAATGAATATAAGAGATGCGCCAGATCTCCAGGATTCAATGACGGTAGCTTGCATGAATTTTTACTCCAAACTTCAGACGAAAGTCCGCAACATATGTGATTTTCTTCATTAATATGTAAATAAATACCTTTGTTATTTCCGTAATTACATTCGTTTAATATATATTTTTTCTATAAAATGAAGTTTGTGCAGACCGCGGTGGTCATTTCATTTCTTAAAACGGACTCCGAGCGGAACTAATTGGTGACCCCTGATATAAAATATGTTACTACGTATTTTCAAATTGAAATTAATATATTTTGCACGTTAGTATTATATTTTAATTATATTAATCTTAAAGCACCTTGTTCGGTTTCTTGCATTGTAGCGAACCAAATTAATTTTTAGTTAACACATGTTTATCTCACATTTTACACGCTTGTCCAATGCTCCGGAAGGCATTGTTGTCCCTTGGAACGTCGACTAAAAGTATTTTTATGAAAGGGAATTCTCATTGCTGTACGTTGAGAGTTGAGCTAATCTTGCGTCTTAACCGAACTAGCGACAAAACATTTATTGTTAATGTCAGTTTGGAGTAATAATAGCTCTTGACTTTAAGGTTTCAGGTATTTAGAAGTTCGATTGAAGTGAATATCTGCCTAATGTAATTGATTAGTTTCTAGAAATATAATTTATTAAAAAAATGCTAAAAATATTGAAATAACTTCTTCGAATCAGCATTTTACATTGTACGAATAGGGCTGCCACTAAAATAAAACAAAATCCCGCTAGTAGAGCTGAGAGTACTATGCCACTTGACACCGCTGCTCTCATTCACAACACGTTTTCAAAGATGATTTTGCCGCCCGGTGTCCTCGCGCTAAGCGGCCGCATCGCTTATGCCAGTGCTCCAAGTCCAGAGGCAGGAACTAAACTAGTCCCGCGATGAGGCAATAACACCACGAAAGGAAGCAGTGGGACTGCTGAGACAACTTGTACAACACGACGTAGACTCGGTCACTGGGGCCGAACCCACATGACGTCTATCGTACCGGTAACCGCTCAACAACATGACTTGAAACAAACACTGTTGCCATGATATTGAACTGGAAAGCAGAGGTTAATTCCGTAAGTTATTTGGTTTTAATGGCATTCCAAAAGGTGGTGTTTCGATCTTCTTACTATATTTATTTGGTCTTCAAGATAGAGATCAATCATCGAATCCAACTAAGACGGGCAGCGTTCTAAGACGAAAGTCTATGACCATTGTGTGTTGCCCGGGATGACATACGATAGTAGTCGTGGTCGCTGACAATGAGCCTTTTCAGAGAAGGCTCAAAGTCACTGAGTCACAGAGCAATGGAGAGAACGGAGCGTCCCTGCGAAATCGAATCAGGAATGAGGAGATTCGCGGAATCACCTGGACAATCGCCGTAACTCGAAGGATTGCGTGGTTACTTTGGTTATATTGCTCGAAGAATTGATAATTCCGTGAGGACCGAAAAGTCCTCGAGTGGCGACCATGCCCGAAAAATACAGCATGGGTAGGCTTCCCACGGGGCGAGGGGCCACCGACGACATACTAAAAGTCGCGGGAATCTGCTGCATTCGTTCTGCGCGGAACTGATCATTCATTGTGGCAAACCTTGGGGAACGCCTATGTCAAGCAGTGAATATTTATTCGGTTATACTATTTACGGATTACATAGTATTAAAAATATGTATGCGGAATACTATAGTTTAAAAATAAATGGTTAAGACGCATGGCCCATGCAATATGTGATGGTTTTGGGAAATCTCGTTTCATGAATGTCGTGATTTTGTTAGGTTTTTGCGAGCCGCAACATACAACAACATAGTTTCTAATGCTCACGGAATACATTAGAGATTACGGTGTTCATAAATAAATGATTAAGCGGCAACGCGTCAAACGAGTGAGATATACATATGAGTATTGTGTGTCCGCTGAATGAGAGAATGCTCTCCTCGGTCATGTAACTACGCACTGTGATAACGTAAATCTTATTTGTGACCTTTTATTTCGTTTAGCTTTACATTCTACCAAATTGTTTTGGCTTTTTATTTATTATATAATCATTGATTTATTTTGTATTATTGTAAAAATATATTTCTTGTAATTTGTTGTTAAGAAGCAACGATTACTACAATTCGAGTCGCTTAGTAAAATCAATAATTAATCATGAAAACCAATTTTACATAGGCGCATGCAAGTGGGTATTATGATTCAATCATTGTAATATAAAGTTTAATACATCGATGCGTATACAAAATAAGTTGAGAGCGATTGGTCTCTGTATGAACGCAACTCATCGCGATTGGAAGATGTACGAAGACACTAGACCGACTAGTCGGGCATCGACTGAGAGAGAATACTTCGTATTTGAACTGTGTTCTGGTTGTTATTGATTTGTCAAGAATTAACATTTATGTGAACATATTAGAGTCCCATAGAGAAGATGATGGCGGAACAGAGACCCATTTTGAACACTTTCCAGTACGCTCGTATTACTTATTTTGTCATCAATATTATCTCAACGAAAACATTTTTTTTTTTTCTCTATTACATGAACATTTATTACTGCAGTGTGCCTTCGTTTATACAACAATATAATGACAATTTAAAAACAGAAAGCTCATTATTTAAAATTATTTCGTTATAGACATTCCTCTTAATGCACTTTATCAATTGGAAACTTGGCGACTGCCAATCTTATGGAATATTTATTGACGCCGTCCCTTACCTTGCGTAGATAGATCTTTATAACTTTGCGCAGAGCCTTGTTGATAGGACTACTATTAGATATGGAAGGTTGTATTATTAGAAGGCTTCACCACCTAAAGACTCGTATTTTGATAACATTAATACCTTTCTTTAATATGGCCCAGTTACTTTTCGGCAGCCAACAGTTCACCAAACAGTCTCTGGAAAATGAACTTATATTTTACTTACTAAATGCGAAGCCTATGCGGAGCTTCGAGCACTAATTGTCATTTTGTCTATTAGACTAATATACCATTTCTGTACTGTCGGTTAGTAATGACCAGTGCTTCTTTAATAAGCTGCTCGTCCTGTGTCAAAAACGAAATGTAACTTTTAGAACTACATATTTTCATTTCCGTAAATAAAGCGGACGGCCAGATTTTTTCTGTCAGAAATAGTTTACGATATACCTAAGTAGTGCCAATTTGATAAACGGATCAAAAATTGCGTTTAAATTGGTAACTACCTTGTATAATATGTGCTATGACCATATCATAGCTTAATGTTGTGACAGTATTACTGCCTGTCTAATTTTCTTTATGATCCCACTTTGCGAATATTTAATCTAAACAAAGATGGTCGGAAACAGTAAAAAGTCATGAAAATTCATATGAGAATGACAAGTTCCAAATAAAAATGTAACATTACTGTTTTTAGTTTATTTTGATTATATTTATGGCCAAACTGTATGTAGTATAAATAACTAGTCTTTTTTTTTAATTTGTATTAGAATACCTGCTGTTTACCATCTTTTCTTGTTTGCGTTGAATGATTTTGCATGTACCTACATGTTCGTTGCGTGTAAATCTAGTAACAAGAGTGTTATTTAATATGACGTGTCGCCTGCGGTACTTTAACTTACGATGAGTATTTAATAAGGAACGAATTGGACAAGTTGACGTTCGCTCCTCCGGCCCGAAGCCCCGCTCCAGGCACGGAGCTCGGGCGGGAGCTCGACGACGACGAGGACGAGGAGTCAGATTGGGAAGACGGTGCGGGGGTCGGTCCGGTGCCGACGAGACCGTCCCAGCTCGAGATGGAAGAGGCCTGCGCCGCCCTGTTCGACGAGCCCTCGCCGGCCGGCTCCAGTACGTCGCGTCGCGACTCGCAGCTTACAGATCGCGGGTACTTCGACGTCAAGTTTTACCATAACAAGCTGTGGTGAAGTAGCACTAGGCTACTGACACTCCCGGCGCCCTTCCGCATCCCTCGCTCACCCTCTCTCCCTCCTCGTTCCCATTCAAGCTATCGACTCATAAGCGACACGTCCTATATTCATTGTGAAGCCCTTAGACTTACTTGCCATCTAAGGATATTTATTCATATAATATATGTGTGGTATTTAATCAATTAATTAATTAAAATTATACAGATTCACAAATTCACTAATTGATCTTTAGACCTGCTCCATCTCATCTAACAATAAAAACAAATTTAAATACCTGAAATAAAATAAATTGCAAGTCACATCTGCCAATCTTAAATGTACCCATTTGCAAGGTGTGGCATCAAAATGTTCAACTTACATCCAGTTTAATTTTTCAGAGAAATGTAATTCCATTGCAATATATTGGTTGGTTGGGGTTGCATTGGTAGCGAGTCGCACGAACCTGCATTCTGCACTTTCGAAAACTCAAATCGAATCCTCAACATACCCAAAACCTTGATCTCCATAATATATTATGATAAAGTTGTACAGTAGTTTTTGTAGCCTTGTTGTATGCAAACAACTAATTCTTACAATTTATCACCAATTACATTGTAGTGCATCAGTAATAATATAATACTGCGTAATATAATATCTGTATTTTATTATCACGTTATTTGCTGCACAGCACATGCACAGTGGTGTGCACAGGAGCAGCGACGCTCATGTCTGCACACAGGGTGCTATCCTTAGTGGGCACTGCCTGCCATGGGAGCTCATTAGATATATTATTGTACATCAATGAACTAGTACTCGTTTTACACCACGCTTTATTAAATAAGAATATTCATTCATTTAAGTTTTAATATATACAAGTACTAGCTACTTTGAATGAAGAATAATAATTTGAAAAACTGTGAAGGGATAAAGTTGCATTTGATAAAATCTAGTGGTGCTCCTTTAAAGATTCTATTATTTTAATAAGACTAAGTGCAAGTGGTCACACAACAACAATGTTATTTTATGAAAAGGAATTATGAATATAGTTTAATAACTATATTTTGTAGTCTGAAGAAAATTCCCATGAGTTAAGTCCCAAAATTATGTTACATTTTTTTATAAAATTTTGTTGTTTATTTTCCGTGTACTATGTAGTAAGACCTAGGTAATACATGTATCCTCATGAGTCCTCACCCGGCCCTACACGTGATGCTAAGACGACGACACGTTGGTCATGGTCCGAGGGAGGGGCTACCGCGACTCTGCCTCTTTTGTTTGCGCAGGGGTGATCTTTATCGGAGGCTAAAATTATGATGAAAGATTCGATTACATAGATGGATAGAGAAATAGATATAGATGAAGCAAATTAAAGCATGTTAATAATGGGCCTGTTAAACTTTTTTTTTTGTCATTTAGGTTTCGTGGTAATTACGACCACCTTGTTTTTGTCAAAAGTTGATATTCATGTCCTATAGATGGTAAAAGGCGTGCAGAATTAAATATAATTACAAAAAACTAAGCAAGGAAACATTCGAAAGCAAGAAGTTCAATTTCAAAAGTTCAAAATATCGCGCCATTGGCTGTCCCAGTCCAAAGTTTTGCAAAAAAAACTGTAAATTAACCAAGGAATCGCATTCAGTAGAAAAACACGAAAAAAATACATATCACTGAGTGCACGAGAATCATAAAATCAAACGCTTACAAACTAACTTGGTTACTGTATGACTTTTATTCCCTTCGTCTTATCGCATAAGATAAAATAAATTTTAAAAGTTCTTTCTTGTGACAGTAATCTGTCACTCGGACATTTTCACAGATAATTAAAGTAACGACTACCGTAAAATGGGGCGATTAGGGACAAATTCCAACTTTATGAGCAATTTTAAGGTAGTTGTTGATGTATATAATGCTATATCAGGATCAAAATGATTGAGTCTTGGGGGCATCTTTGTTGTCTAATTTAAAATTATGCAACTAGCATTCCAGTTTAAGCAAAAAATGCAAAAATAGGTGTAATCCCTATTTACCCGAAAATTGCGGTTAATTGGGACGAAATGAGAAATTTGCTAGGGTTGGCACTACTTTTATTTTTACATATAGTTTTAATTTATTTATTTATTTAGTTGCACCAACAAAGTGATCATCAATAAAAAAAATTGAAAAACTGACAAAAGTACATGGCAGACATCACCTCAATTATAGGTGCAATCGACAGTGC